TCATTGGGAAACTAGAAGTGATGTCAAAGGCTTCTTAGCAAAGTTTTTGTTCGAGAAAGCCCAAAGCTATTGCAATTCCTTAGACTTACAAGCCTTTGAGGAAATTATGGCTCTCCTCATCTATGGGATGGTTTTGTTTCCCAATCCTGACCAACTCATAGATGTGAGTGCCGTCAAAATCTTCATGTTATGCAATCCGGTGCCTACATTGCTAGGGGATATGTTACACTCTTTTCACACTCGCACAATAAGGAAAAGAGGTATCCTTATATGTTGAACTCCTCTCCTGGCAAGATGGTTTATTTCTCATCTTCCCCAATCAGTCTTAAAGAATGAGCAAGGATTAAGGTGGTCACAAAGGTTAATGACACTCAAACATTTAGATATTCATTAGTGCTCTCGGTCCAAAGAGAATGTTATCATTGTTGACCGTTGTGGGGAATTCCCTAATGTCCCTCTACTTGGAATTAGGGGAGGCATCACCTACAACCCATGCTTAGCTCTAAGACAGTTTGGTTATGCCCGAAGGGATGGCCCGCATGAGATATTGATTCAAGGCTTGGTATTCGACTATGACAATGACAATCAAGGTCTTCGCCAGAGATTCATCTGAGCATGAAGGATGCTAAACAAGGTGGATAGCAAGACTTTGGGACTGAATAATTCCATCCCTCTTGAGCCTTAACTCAAGTGGGTACGAACCCGCGCTCAAAGTCTTATGATGCCTTATCCTTCCATTCTCCTGGTGATCATTGAGCCTGTTAAGGAAGGAGAAGTTCCATACACTATCCTACATCCTGACATGCTCACATCTCTTGAAGATCTACAAAGGGATTAGATACAACTCAAAGGAGAGCGAGATACTTTCGAAGCCCAATTCTACGCAAGCGAGAAGAAGGTTTTGGAACTCACTAGGATACTTCATGAGGAGCATACTCTAAATGCCTACATAGCACCAAAGAGGAGGCGCACTACTTTTTTATCTTAGAGTGTTGTATTATTTTGCCCAAGGGGCATTGATGTACTCAAACTCTATCTTATTAATATAACGTGTATTTCTTTTTGTCTAAAACGAACTTGAATCTTTTAAAATCCTTGAAAACATTACATATGCATATATCATTCATCATAACATAAACAGGTCTTTTGCAACGAGTTTCCTCACCTCTCTACTGTTTATTTCAGTAAGATGGATCTCGAACAGATAGTCAAAGATCTTCAAGTTCAAAACACGCAGTTTCAACAGTTACTTATGACCCTAGCGAAGGGGCAATAAGAGTTGAAGACTCTGTTAGCTGAAGAAAGAAAGAAGAAAACAAAGAAGGTCATTGGGGTTTTGAACATGGGGAGAAGGTTTCAGGGACAGACTAGAAGAACCTTGAATTTTATAACCACTTCCGGAGAAGGAGAAGGGAAAGGAAAAGAAACAGCGGTTCCATCAGAATCTGAAGAGGAGGAAGAAGAGGAAGACTACCCCGAGGAACAGTATCCTCCAGCAGATGATAAGTACAGACATCTTGAAGAGCGTTTGAGCGTTATGGAAATACAAAGGTGCCAGGTCTAGACTTTGAAGAATTAGGACTAGTGTTAGGAATTGTGATCCCACCGAAGTTAAAAGTGCGGTTGTTTGCAAAATATGATGGTGTGTCATGTCCTAAGATGCACCTCCGATCATATGTGAGAAAGATCCAGCTGCACTCCGCCGATAAAGACCTGTGGTTGAGAACATACACAACCAGCATCATCAGTGAAACTTCGGTTTCAATCTTCAAACCTAGCATTTTTATGCTAAAAAATTACATTGGTTGAGAACAGACACAACCGGTAGAAAAATTAGATCGCATCTTGGATCTAGTTATCTAAGATTTGATCATCAAGAACATCTTTTTCTGCGATATAACCCATTGCGTCAGTCTCCATGCAGCGATGTGGTTCCTCCTCTGCAATATAACCTATTGCGTCAGTCTCCATGCAGCAATGTGGGAAATCTACAATATAAATCATTGCATCAGTCTCCATGCAACAATGTTGTTATCAAGCTCTTTCTGTGATATAACCCATGTGTCAGTCTCCATGCAGCGATGTGTGAAATTCAAGATATAACTCATTTCCTCAGTCTTCATGCAGCAATGTAGTTATCAAGATTTTTCAATTATCTATCCTCTAGGTTGCGATAGGTATGCGAATAAATCTGCGTAATCCATTGCATAAGTCTCCATGCAGCAATGTATTATCAAACAGTGTTTTATTTATCCCCTAGGTTGTGATAAATACACAATTTCCTCCTTTGCGATATAGCTCATTGCGTCAGGCTCCATGTAACAATGTGCGAAATCTACAATATAACTCATCGCCTCAGTCTCCATGCAACGATGAAGTTATCAAGATTTTTTCAATCATCTATCCCCTAGGTTGCAATATATATGCGAATAAATCTGCGTAATCTATTGCATCAGTCTCCATGCAACAATGTATTATCAAACAGTGTTTTATTTATCCCCTAGGTTGTGATAAATGTACAGTTTCCTCCTCTGTGACATAACCTATTGTGTCAGTCTCCATGCAATGATGTGGGAAATCTGCGATATAACTCATTACGTCAGTCTCCATGCATCGATTTTATTATCAACATTTTTCAATCATCTGCCCCCTAGGTTGTGGTAGATGTGCGAATGGCAGGTTCATATCATTCATTCCCTAGGTTACAATGAATACGTGAATTCATCCTCGGATTTCTTACTCCGTAGGTTGTAGTAAACACGACAAAGTCGACAATATAACTCATTGTGTCAGTCTCTATGCAGCAATGTTGTTAGGAAGCTTTTCAAATATCTATCCCCTAGGTTGCGGTAGATATATGAATAAATCTGCGTAATCCATTGCATCAGTCTCAAGGCAGCAATGTGTTATCAGACTTTGTTTTGTTCATCCCCTAGGTTGCAATGAATAGACAAAATCAAATCAAATCAAAACTTACTATATTAGTCTCCAAGCATTAGTAAGTCAATTTTTTTTCAAAACTTGTATTTTTGTAAATATGCAAAAGAATCTACAAATCTTAGATACTGATGAATTATCCGTGTTGTCGTGTCTAAGTTCTATAAAAAAAACATTGGTTCAAACGTTGGTAAAATAATACACCATTATTTATGCCTACTTTTCGTATCCATGGGAATGTTGTACCGCGTATCCTTATAATCTTTCAACCTGTGTTGTTTACCTCCTAGGTCATGGTAAATACGTAAAAAACAATGATCTCTTTTCTAGGTATTAGCGAGTTATCTGTGTCGTCATATTTAGGTCAAACTTACTCTTCAATCATATCTCTCTATTCAAACTCTGGTAGGATGATACCTCGTCATCTTTGCCTATTTCTTTATCCAAACTCTGGTAGGATGATACGTCATCATCCTTACCTATTTCTTTGGGCTATGAGGTATGCTATATCAATGTATCCTTGTTTAATAAATCTTGGGACCAAATTTTGGGGTCTTCCATTATTTAATAACCCTTTGATACGAATGTGCGAGACCTGCACATTCTCGCACCATTCAATCGAAAGGTAATTAAATAGGGGCAGCTGTCATACCCCAAATTTTTCCGCCCTTAGTGCTACCGTCAAATTTATTTTTGAACTTGGGTTTTAAAATCCCTTTGGTTTAATTACATTAATATTTTGGAGTTTTATAAATATTCGTTCTCAAGTCCAGTTAAAAATATAATAATTTATTTCAAATTATTTGTATTTTTAAATAACAAATACTTGCTCGTCTTCATGTATTTTCAATTGGTTCTTTATTTCGAATAAGTAACATAACACAATTGGTAAAGAATGAAGCTTGCAAATATGAGGTCGCGGGTCCGAATCTCTTATGGTGCACTTTTTAATATTTTTTCTATTTCTTTTTGTTACTAATTTTCTTTCCTTTTTTGGAAATTGGGCTTGGGCTTTTCATAAATTTTGAATAATTTAGTCTCTAAGTTTTTTCTAACCTAATTCAAGTCTATAAATAAGACTCTTATTTATCCTAAAAATTCATCCACAATTTTACAACCTCTCACAATTTCACTCATTCACACACACTTCATTTTTTTTTGCAAATTTCTTCTTCTTCCAAAATTTTATTTTTAATACCGTTAGGGATATTTTTGTTTTGGTCAATGATTTCATATGAGGCCTCCCTCTAATTTTCAATTATATTTTTTTAATTAGTTTGTTATTTTAACCATATGATGATGATCTGATGGTCTAGTTGCTTTCAGAAATTATTTCTTGACAAAACTAGCTATTCTCTCAATTCATAATTGCACACAGACCACACACATCCAATACACATCATCCAAATTTGTACACAATTATGGAGAATTTATGCTCTTGGTTTTGGCTCATCTTACTTATAAACATCATAATATATTCATGTAAATTTATGAATTATCGTTACATTTTTTGTTTACGTTAACATTTTCCTAACTTATATGTGATTACAACTCATGATGTTTGTTATTAGTATTATCTTGGTAAATATACAAGATATCTCTAATTTAGTTCTTAGAAAAAATTAACCAATTAGTTCTTGAAATCAATCTGTGTTGCAAAACTTATATACAACATCATCACTGCTTCAATTCATATATCATTATTACTCTAGTATTTGATATATTGTATCTAATGCCAACTAACAAATTGCAGATTTTATGAATTTTATCTCTAATGAGCTTTGATATCTACTTTATCCAATCACTACCAATAAAGAGAAAAAAACAAACAATATCACAAATCAAAGAAATAGGAAGAGGAAGTAGCTCGGCCACAAACCCGCCGGTCTTAATCAACAACCTGGAAAACAACATTATAACAAAACATCACAATCTAAACAGAGCTCTCCACCGATGCACCTATCCCACCTTTAAACGGCCTTCGTCGACACCACCACAAGATCCGACAAATCTGGAGTCCGATGGTGAGAACTACACACGCAACTCAACTGGTGTAAACGTCGATGAGAGCCCTCCGTTTCGCACATAACAACAACATCGCCGAAGATCCACCATCGAAACTACCACGATCCGACCGTCTCCCCTTCAAATCCGGAGACAACCGCAACCGCCTCTGTGCAATCATCATGATTCTGCCCAGATTCACAAAATCATTATCCATTGGCATCCTCCAGTTTGTTTTCCATTCTGATTTTTATTCATGTGATTTAATTAAGACATGTTTGATTAAATAAGTTTGTATATGAGATTTATGGGTGTTGGTTTTGTTTTGAAAGAAATTGAAAAGAGAGATTGTGAAGGTAGAAGAAGGAATACCGCGAGGGAGGAAGAGATAATTTGGGATCAGTAATTTTTCTGTCTATTTTATTATTACTTATATTATTGCTATTATTATTAGTTTATTTTTATTTTTTAGGATTAACTTTAACAAATATTGAAATGGACCTTAGGCCATATATAGATCTAATAGTGACACCCCTTGTTAATTTAGCATCACCTTTAATTTAGTTATTTCTTTTATTTATTTATTTAATTTCTCTAAAGAAAATATCATATAAAAATACAAAAACTATTTTATTTCGACAAATTACCAGTAATCGAATTTCACATCCTCAAGTAATTAGTGGTAGAATTAACGTTTACCAATTAGTTATTAAAAATAAAAAATATATTTTATTGGATTATTTAGTTAAATATATTTTCTAATTAATTCAAACCTTTTTCTTAAATTAAGTTAATTCAATATTTTACAATGATATTAAAAACCACGCAATTCACCAGTGGACGACACGTCGCCAATATCTGGCCACATGATGAGGAAAACTTTATCGAATTCCATCCACCTCTTCCATGACGAGCAACGCATGGCCAATATCTGGCCAGGTGATGAGGAGACTATGTCAGACTCCCTCGCTCTATGCCTTACCATACACGTCATCAATTCAAAATTCAAAACAACCAACCAACGATCAAACAATTTTTTACTAACTCAATCAAAACCCTAAGATATTTTCAAAAAAGGATTAAGGAGAATTATTTTCAAATTAACTGCGAACTATGTCTACGCTCACACAATTTTCAAACCAGACAAGGTTCAAGGATAATTCGAAATCAATTCTATGTAATCCTATAAAAAAACACCAACCAAACTGTGAACTACGAATTGGGATTCTGATTCCTCATAAGAGGATACATAGGCATACGACTAAAATCGTGGCGAGTTCCCCTAATAAAAAACTAAAACCCCATTTCCTAAAGATTAATTCTAAACCTAGTATCCTTGTGAACAAGTTAGATGAGGGGTGCCTAACACCTTTCCTTCGTCTAAAACCGAGTAAAAAAACCTAGAATCTATGACTTTTTAGGGTTAACCTTTATATTCCCTTCCTTAGGATAAAAATTAAGGGTGGAGGCTCTTATTTTAAAACCGGTTACAACAGTAACCGGTTACTATAGAATTGGTACCCGATTACCAACAGGCCAGGCAGAAATCAAAAGCTTTGGAAATGAGATGTAATGCATAGTTTTAATGCACAAAAATATTTTAATGGAACATGGCATGAATGTGTGATAATATTGAACACTTGTATACACATAGATAGGTTGAGTTCTATATACCTTAAAATTTATGATTAATCACACAAAGTTTCTTCAAGACTTGATTTTACTTGAAACTTGACTTGTGCTAAGAGTCTTGAACCATTTCTTTTTTGACAATCTTTCTAGCTTGTTGACTTATCTTCATCAAAACACTTTGAGAAGCTTGACTTAACATTTACGTCAATGAAGTTGAAATTTTCAATTGCCTTTGCATATTTGGAACATGAAAAGGAGGATAATTTCACTTGGGCACTGGACAAGCTCAAAAAGTTGTTCTATTCAGAGAAATTTCTATAAAAGGTTGTGGTGATGGACCGAGAACTTCCATTGATGAATGCCATGGAATCTGTGTTCCCAAATGCTGCTCATTTGTTATGATTGTTCCATATTTCAAAAAATGTGAGCATGAAATGTAAATAGTATGTCAAATCAGAAAGACATGAACATGTCATAGAACTATGGAATAACATCATGTATTCAAATACAAAAATTGAGTTTAGCGAACAATTCAAGAACTTCGAAAGTGTTTGTGCTGATATTCCTTTATTTGTCAAGTATGTAAATAAAACATGGTTAACACCTTATAAAGAAAAAAATGTTGTTGCATGGACTAGAAGGGTCACTCATTCAGGGAACACAATAATAATCAGGTACACAGATCATGACAATTTGATGTTATTATTATTTATGTTTCAAAAACAGTTTGAAACATGTATTTCTATTTGTGGATTTTTGGGTGGAGTATGTTCATTGGAGACTAAAAAACATGCTGACTACAAGTCAGTTTAATTTATGCTGAATTTGGGATGTTGTGAACACCATGTTGGAGTTGCTACTAGGTTCAATCAGAGTGTTGTTTCAATAAGATATTGTCAACATTGAGCATCAGTATAAAACTTCATTCTATGCCAAGTTGCACGGATTTGTCTCAAGTCAATGTATACAGCTCATTCGAAAGGAACTAGAAAGGGTAAAAAAATTTGTTCAAGCCAAGAGAGATGTGGTTGCTTCATTAGAACAATACATGGATTACCGTGTGTGTGCCAGCTGTAAGTGCAACTTCACCATTAGATGTTTTGCATGATGTCAAAATTAGGAAAACTTAGCATTTATGTATATTGGATGATATCTCTATGTCATGTGGCACTCCCCTGTGTTATAGGTCTTAGGAATCATTTAAAACAAGTAGAAAATTGGCCCCAATCATTAAAAATCGATTTATGCATAAAAACATGCTTATGTGTCGACTTGAAATTTGTATGTGTCGACACATAAATTCAGCATTTATGCAATTTCTTAAAAGCTTCAGTATGCATTGACACATACAAATTATGCACCGATACATGTGCTTCAATATTAATGCCTTCAACATTTATGCTTTCAAACACAGGAACATGTGTCGACACATACGATTTATGTGTGGACACATGTACTGCATTATTAAAGCATGTAGCTACTATTTTATATGTGTCGACACATAATTTTTTCAGGTTGACACATATTGTTTTTTGAGTCATTTTTTCATAATTATTTCATTCTGAAACTTCCCTTTTTTGCCTAAAAGTTCCCAACTATAAATATATCATTCATGCATCATTTCAACTTGATGATACCATTAAATTAGCCTACATTTTCTCTTCATCTTCAACCTCTAATCTATTCATACACACTGACATTCCATTGTAGCGATGTTCTATTGGGGTTCCATCTAGACGAGAATATTGGGTTAAGAATTGTAAAGATCTTCATCCAGAAAAACCGCGGGTTTATTCTCAAAGATCATTGAGTGATTTGGGGGTTTTCGTGCAAGATGTTCAAAAGAAGATTGCAGACAAGTGAAGCTCTTTAGAGATAAAGAACACAAAGGATCCTTTGGAGATAAAGAACACAAAGGAATTAGCAAGAGAACGACGAATCAAATTAAAGTTTTGTGTTGCAGTAGTTGTAACTGATGGTGCACGAAAGCTTTGGAGATAAAGGACGTAAATGAGTAGCAAGATCCAGATAGTCAATTGGCAATCTATTGTATGCTTGATCTTGTTGAAGATCAAAAGAAGAGAAGAGGTTGAATCAACAACAAACAGTTAGGGTTTGTAGGATTACTCTTGGAGACTTCTCTTGTAATCATACTTTTTGCAAAGTAAGAAAGTATCCTAATTCCACATTGGAACTGGGCGCATATGTACCGACATGAGAGGATGAAAGGGAGGATCTGTGTAGACAAATACCCGTGTCTCTTTTCTTTTATTTCTTTACTTGATTTAATTTTTCATACATCAATTTGTCAAAGAGTATTGAATAATCTATCGACACGTAGGAATTTTCCGAGACTGTTTTCGTTTTGAATTGTGTGGTGAGTTGCTTATAATCACTTTTGATTATAATTATTTTTCACATCAACACAATACAAAGGAAAATTCTGAAACTTTGATTGCACACCAAGTGTTTGACAAATTGTTTAGCTTTTTAAACTCAAAGGAAAATTACAATGTTCTATCTCTTACTCTCATTTACTATCGATATGCAATTTGTTGAATGTGTTGTTTGATCGATCAATTCGTATAGAATTTCTATTTGGATGTTAAAGTTTAAATTGGTTTGTTGATTAGCTTATAATAACTTTGATTGTTAGTGCTTTTTCATATCAACAAATTTCAAAGAAAATACTAAAAAATTGATTACGCGTGACATGTTCGATAAAGTGTAAGGTTATGTTTTTCATATGATTTCATTGGAAATAGGAAAACGTTGTGTTTGATATTAAACTATTAATTGAGATATTATTATGTTGATTGATTTTATCATTATCTTAATTCCATCTGGCTTGTGAATATCCCAGTTTCCAATAACTACGTTCGTTTAGACTACTTTATTTATCTAGGCCAAAAACCTTCCGCTCAACATTATTTTTCAAATAAGTTTTTAAATAACCATTTTGAAAGGTAATTTTTATTTTGGGATCTATTCACACCTCTCTAGATAAGTCGTCGTAGTCTAACACCAGCTTTCTAGTTTCCAAATTCTAGGCACCCTGTTCCTTTAGACTTAATTCATGTATTTTGGACGAAGTTGCACATTGTAGAACATGAGGTCAGTCATGAATAGAGTAATACAAAGTAGGATTAAGAAAAAGAGTTTGAAGAGTTAAAGAGATATTTAAGTACTTTGAATATTGTAGGTCAGAGGGTGTTGAAGAAAAAAGTGTGATCTAACATATCCATCCACAACTTTAATATGTCCTCCACCGGTGAAGTACAAGCCAAATATGAGAGTTAATAAGAATAGAAAGAGTCAATAGAGTGATGTGCATCGTAATTCTAGTCAGTGGGAGTATGTCGAGGCTTCGTAGGGGAGTCATACTACAAAGATATCATTCACAAAACCAATTGGAAGTCAACTGTCAAGTATGCCGATTGGTAGCCAACCGTCCACCAAATCTTTAAGACATCTTTACTTGATACAATTTCATGCTTTCTTACATTCATACATCGATGATATAATTGATTTTGGTGACAATGGAAATTATAGCTTCCGTTGTATTTCATCTTTATTAGGATGGGTCGAAGAGTTATGGCCTTTGATTCAGATGTAGTTAATGCTCAAGTTCATCAACACTCTCAGTTGTTTTCCAAGT